CGTCTCCAGGACTGCGGTGGGGCCGCAGGCCTTCAGTCCCGGGCCGGGAGAAGGTGTCCCTGCTCAGGCCTGGCTCCCTGAGGCCGTGCCTGACTCCTGGGCAGGATGGCCTGTGTCCCCTGAGGGGACACTAGCTGTTGTGCCAAAGGAGTCCCGCGCAGGACCCCTCCCGGCCGCCCTCCCGGTGCTCTCTCCAGAGCCCTGGGCGGAGGAAGCGAGCTCCTGACTGACCAAGGGACCAGGGTTGTGCCTCAGAGCACACACCCACCGTCCAGGAAGGTTGAGTTCGGGCGGGCCAGGGGATGACTTCCAGTGACAGGTCCCAACAGGCCGCTGCTGCTGGCCTTGCAAAATGAAGGGGGAACGTGGCCAGGGGAGGGGAAGCGCTTTCCGGTGCCTGTTCATCTCTTCCCTCCCTAGCACGGCCCAGCCCATCGCCGCAGTCCCCTGTGTCCCCCAGGTCACCTCCGTGCTGAACAGGGATCAGGAGGCTCATCCAAATAAAAGGGGGGTCACCCATGCCCAGCACTGACAGCCAAAGGAAGCGGAGGGGGCATCCTGGGCACTCGCGTCCCTGAGCTCTTCAGCTCAAGGCTGGTGCTCTACCGCGTGAGCCACAGCTCTACTTCTGGCTTTCTTGGGTAGTTAATTGGAGACAGGAATTTCAGAGACTTTTCTGCCTGGCTGACTTTGAACCCTGATCCTCAGATCTCAGCCTCCTGACAAGCTAGGGTGTCCTGATAAAAGAGGCCGTGGAAGGCGATGGACGGAGCCTCTCCTCCCTCTCATAGGTTAGGCAACATCCTCTGGGCTGGTCCTGGGCGGTGCTGTCCAGGGCAGGGCCCGGCCAGCTTCCAGAGCGCAGCTTGGGGCAGTCAGAGGGCACCTGGTTAGGACCCCTCGGGAGAGCAAGGTTGGAACTGCCCTGGGGGTCAAAGGCAGAAGGCCCCAGCCTTTGCTTCCTTCGGAGCTAGTCAGTGGCTGGGCGGGGGGAGAGGAGCTGGAGGAAGGGGCTGTTATAGAAGCCCCACCTGCTTCCCCAATGGAAGAACACCAGTTCTTCCCACCGGGGGCCAAAGGAAGGGAAGAGGCCCTCAGTGCACCGGCACCTTTCGGCACCTCGGAGAGATTCTGGTCCCTTGCAGCGCCAGCTGCCCCGCGGCACGTCAATGCAGCCGCTAGGGAGTCTGCCCGGCTCCACGTGCAAGGAGGCTTGACATCCTGTCCTCCCTCAGCAGGGCTGTGCGAGTCTCCACATCTGGCCAGCCAGGGGGACCTAAGACCAGAGGTGGTGCTGGTGAGACTGGACGTGGACACTCAAGACAGTCGCCAGAAAAAGTGAGCACAGAGCCAGGCACTGGCGGCTCACGCCTGTCACCCTCGCTTCTCCGGAGGCCGAGATCTGAGGATCGAGGTTTGAAGCCAGCCGGGCAGAAAAGTCCGTGAGACTCTCCCTAGTCTCTGATTAACCACAAAACAGGAGGTGAAGGGGAAAGCAGACTTTGACTGAACTGTGTGAAAGCGATGTCTGGGAGGAGGACCCCTCATCCCATCTATCCGTCACTCTGGATCCTCAGGAGCCCCACCGCCTGCACACGATTCACTATCCCAAGCACCTTCAGTTCCTCCGTGACAGCTTGTTTGTTGTTGTTGTTATTGTTTTTCTGGATTAACAGAAGTACACCGAGTAAATGCAGGACTTTCAAGGAGGAAGCAATCCAGCAAGTCCGGAGCTGGAACCTTGCAGCTCCCACCTGCGGGAGGCCGGCATTCCCGGCTAAAGTCCACCCATCACGTGGTCACTGCTCTGCAATTGCCTGCTGGGTTTAAGACTCTGGGTACAGAAGATAAAGCCTTACTTCTCTTTTGTTCCTTTTTCTCAGTCGTGGGGCTTGAATGCAGGGCCTGGGTACTATCCCTGTGCTTCTTCTGCTCAAGCCTGGAGCTTTACCATGTTGAGCCACAGCTCTACTTCTGGCTTCCTGGCTTCCACCAGGAAGATAAGAGTGTCAGACTTTCCTGCCCTGGCTGGCTTTGAACCTCGATCCTCAGATCTCAGCCTCCTGAGTAGCCCGGATGACAGGCGTGAGCCTGGTGACTGGCATTTGTTCACAGCGGCCACACCCACACCCACGGTCTGGTTGTGTCACCGTTGACAATGAAATCCAAATTCATTGCTTACACATCATTATGACTCGGGTAATGTCATTACGTCCACCCTTGCCTGATCATTTGGTGGGATGCTGAGCACTAGCTTGGAGAAGGCATTTTTTTCTTCCTCTTTGTGTGTGTGTGTGTGCACGCGTGTGCACACGCACATGCGTGCGTGTCCATCCTGGGCCTTGAACTCAGGGCTTGGCTGCTGTTCCAGAGCTTTCAGGCTCAAGGCAGCACTCGACCACATGAGACTTTTTGGTGGTTAATTGGAGATAAGAGTTCTCATGGACGTGGCTGCAGATCTTAGCCTCCTGAGTAGGATTACAGGCATGAAATGTGAGAATCATTGTGTGTGTGTGTTAGTTACAAGGGACTGAACTCAGGCTTGGGCACTGTCCCCAAACTTTTTTATTCAAGATTGGCACTCTACCACTTGAGCCACAGCTCTACTTCTGGCTTTTTCTGTGTATGTGGCACTGAGGAATCAAACCCAGGGCTTCATGCATGCTAGGCAACACTACCACCAAGCCACCTTCTCAGCCCTGCTGTTGAGTTTCTTTTGGAATTAATTCTCTGTATCCTCCTTCTTCCACGTTTCCCTCTTTTTGTCCATTTGTATTTCCTGTGAAGATTTCTTGTCTTTGATTTCCAGACCTTATCTTCCCTGGAATGTTTTTTCTCTCATCACATTTAAAATGTGTGTTCAAAGTTTGTCTCTTAAGTGCTTTCTCTCTCTCACACACACCTATGCTGGTTTTCATTTACTGAAGGTATGAGACAATTATAGCTTTCTCGGTTTTCCCTTGACCCACCCCAGCTTCCTGTGCTCCCTGGCTTCTTACACCCGCCTGCCGGTTTGTTGGGAGTCTTGGGTTGGTTGTCTTTGTCCTCATTCATGTTGGAGGCATGCCCTGTGCCCAGCGGGCTCCGTTCCTTCTGTTCCACTCTGCCCTGTGTCTGGCGCCCTCACTCTTGAAGATTTACATAGTTAAGGTTACATTCAATAGGCATAAAATTATCCTGCAGCTGCTTTCTCTATGTGCGTTCTCGTGTATGCATTGGCTTACTGTGGACTGGGGACACAGTGCCCAGAGCCTGGGTGACAGCCCGGTGACACCCACTAACCACAGTCCATACGGGGCCCGTGGCTGGTCCAACCGGGGGACAATACCCAGATGTGGCCACCCTGTCTGGGGCAACAGTGGGCCTGTCAGATGATCTACCTCTGCCAGTCGCCAGGCCAAGGAAGCCTCCAGAAAGCAGCCAAGGCCTCTCCCAGCTCCTCCCCAGGATGCAGCCTCCGCGTCTTATTCAACTCCCTTCGGGACCCTTTCTTGAGCCGTTGCTCCTCCATCCACCTTTCCTGTCCCCCTGGGAGGACCCATGAGGCCACCCCTCAGGAGACCCTCCTCAGGGCCTGTCTCTGAGCAGAGATGGGGTGCTCCTTCCTTGGTGGCGTAGGCATGACCCATATGGTGCCCCGGAGGCCAGGCTGTGCATGTCTGCGTCTCCTTCCAGTGCTACCGCACAGGGAGAGAGAGAGGACAGCGGAGCCCGGAACGCAGAGCCCACACCTGTCCCCTCGATTCCCAGTGCCCAGCGGTCCAGCCGTGTCTGGAGAGGGGAGGAGCCACCAGCGCGACCTCGTTCTCCAGGCTCCCAGAAAAGGCGGCTGCACCAACATCTAGCCCAGAGGTGACAACATAAACGGAGGGTTCCCCCAGCACCCCAAGTCCCACTCTGGGGCCCACGCTCTCAAGTTTGGGGATCATCTTTCTGAAGGGCCACACAAGGTTGGAAGGGATGCTGGGGCGCTGTCCTCCCACCCGCAGCCCTCCACTTCCTCTGCCACCCCTTCCTCACCCAACACCCAGCAACGCTGGCTTGATGCCTCCCATTCCAGCAAACGCTTCTGATGTTAAACCAGCTCTGCTGCTGGCTACCGGCACTTACTCCGCCTTGTGCCTTCATCGCAGCCTGTGGAAGTGACCGGGAGACTCTGGAACGTTCTCTAGTTCTCAGGGTGAGACTGACCACAGCGATGTTGGTGCCAGCCTTTGCCATCCTCAGTGCTGTCCGGGAGCTCAGGCGCACTCGTCCCCAGTGGCTTTCCACAGATGCCGCCTCCACCGAGCCGCAGCGGAGCGGTGAGGCTCCGGACGAGGCTCCTTCCCCACCAGAGGTGACCCCTTCCTTCTTGTTACCCGCCCTGTGTCTACCTGTGTCTGCACTGCACGCTGATGAGCTGGCTGGACTGAGGTGGATGGAGGCTGGGTGGAGAAGTGAGCAGAGGAGCAGGAAAGAGGGTGAGCAGGCGGGTAGAGAGGCCGAGGGGGATGGACGGGTGGGTAGAGAGGCCGAGGGTGGATGGACAGGTGGGTGGAGAGGCCGAGGGGGATGGACGGATGGGTGGAGAGGCCAAGGGTGGATGGACGGGTGGGCAGGCGGGTGGAGAGGCTTGAGGGTGGATGGACGGGCGGGTGGCCCGTGGATGTATTCCACATACAAAGAGACAAAAATAAGAGCGATAAGCAGTCAACAACAAGCAAGCTTTGGTGCTGAGGCTTGGAGCTGGACAGGCCTGTGCAGGGCTGTGTGGGGCAGGCACGGCGAGGGATGGCGGGCCCCACTTGCCTTCGGTTTCTGGCACTGTCGGGTTCATCCAGGTTTCTGGGGCTGTCGGGTTCATCCAGGCTGCGACGGCCTTTAGAAAGCCATCTCCAAGCTGCGCAACCCTCCCCGACACCTCTGATGTTCAAGAAGCAGACATTCGCAGCTTGCTTACAATAAAAGGTCATCTCACTAACTTCCGAAGGGTAGGTGCGCGTTTGCTTTATTGGTAGACAGACGCGGCCGCCCCTGCGGCGACGCAGCCCCGCACGGCACGCGGAGGCCTATTAAAACATAGCCACTTCTACGGGTTGCTATTTTCTGTCATAGAAAAGAAGTCCTTGCCCTTAGATTCACATCCACGTACACGGTACGTTAACACCAATCTGTTTCGCACATGGGGCCACACACATATTTTACACAGGAGATCTTCTACAACAAATTTATACAACAGGCGGAAGGCAGCGCGCGGGAGCCACGCGGCCCGCGGACAGCACCCCGACTCCGCAGCTCACATGCCCGGGGGGTGATCAGGGATCAGGTCGGCAAACCCCAGGACGCCAAGTGAGTGCCCCCAACGCAACAACCACCTCACCCACGTCAGAGATGCCAGGTGAGCGCAGAGTCGGCAGCACTCTGTGAATCCAAACTGAAGTAATCAGGAGTTCGTAAATGACTTCTACCTGCGTCGCTCCTTCCTCTGGCGTTCCAAGCCTTTCTTCACAGAGGAAGGAGAACCAGACACAAGCGAGCCTAGCAGGGGCAGTGCTGGGCCCTGGGTGTGGCTGTCGGGGTGGGACACAGCCAGGTGGAAATGCTGCTGAGCTTCCCTTCCAGAGCCAGCGCTTCCATTCACCCCTCAGTGCAGGCTGCTCAGTGAGGGACGTTTAACAGGCCTGACTCAAGCGAAGTCCATCACACCAGGTGTTTCCCACACGAGAGCCGACAGGACACTTGGGGCTCCGAGTCCCTCCGTCACTGTGGAGGCGAAGCACACGCGCTTGCACACCGCTGGCTGAGACCTGGTGGCTCGATCTCCAAGAGAGGGGACATCCTTCCCCAGGCTTTGTCACAAGGACCCGAGCGGGCGGGCTTTTAATCTTCCCCTGGGATGGCAAGCGCCTGGCTGGTGGGTGGGGCAGCTGCCGGGTGCCTTCGGGACAACCTGGCATGAAGCGGGCGGTGCCTGCGGACAGCACCTGCCCTGACCGGCTGCGTCTCCCGTCGCCAGCCTCCGCTCCGTGCCTCGGCCCCCGACAGGGCGAGCGGAGTGTGAGCACGGCATCCGTGGTTCTGTCCACACACGGACCACGGCACGGCGGTGGACCGAGGCCCACACGGAGCCCCGGCTCCGCGGGAGCTCACTAGGTCTTGCTGCGCCGCAGGAGCGTGGCCGTGGCGCCCGGGCTGCCTTGGAACTTGAGGCTCTGGAGGTTGATGTGGGCCCCGTGCTTGAGCAGGGTCTCCACAGTGTGTGCGTGCCGGCCCCGGGCCGCCAGGTGCAGGGCGCTGAAGCCCTGCTCATCGGACAGGTCGATGAGGTCGGCGCTGACCAGCTCCTCCACCACCTCTGAGTGCCCGTGGGCCGCGGCCAGGTGCAGGGCCGTCTGGTTCAGGGGTCCCCGGGCCAGCACGTTGGCCTTCTCCTCCAGGAGCAGCTTCACGGTGGCCAGGTGTCCATGGCGGGCCGCCAGGTGCAAGGCGGTGCAGCCCTCCGCGGTCACGGCCTCCTTGCCCGCGCCACGGTGCAGGAGCAGCCTGGCGGTGCTGGTGTGCCCCGTCTCCGCGGCCACGTGCAGGGGCGTCTGCGCCAGCAGGCTGCAGATGTTGACGTCGGAGCACAGGTCCGTGAGGATGCGGGCCACGCGGTAGTGCCCCCGCTGGGCGGCCAGGTGCAGGGGCGTCTTCCCGTCCAGCGTCTGGGCGTTCACGCTCACGCCAGGCTGCCTGGCCAGCAGCTTGACGATGGAGAGGTGGCCCTGCCAGGCGGCGTAGTGCAGGGGCAGCCAGGCGTCCTTCCCCTGCAGGCCCACGTCCACGCCCCGGCGCAGCAGGAGCCGCACGATGTTCTCCTGCCCGTGCTGGCACGCCACATGCATGGGCGTCCGGCCCTCGAAGTCCACCTCGTTGATGGACGCGTTCTTCTCCAGCAGCTGACGCGTACTGGACTCGTCCCCATTCTGGGCCGCAAAGTGCAGGGCCGTCCACTGGTCCTCATCTTTGGCGTTGACGCTGATCTTGCGGGACAGCAGGAGCTCCGCCACGCCCCGTGCCCGCCGCTCCACGGCCACGTGCAGCGGGGTGGAGCCCTTCCTGTTGGTGAGGTTGGGGTTGGCGTTGTTGAGCAGCAGCCACTTGACGCACTCCTCCTGCCCGGCCTCCACCGCCAGGTGCAGCAGGCTGGCGCCGCCATCCAGTGCCAGGTCCACGTCCTGGGGCTGTAGGATCTTCATGAGCCTGCTCGTGTCCCCAGACACGATGGCGTCCACCAGCTTCCTCTTCTGGATGTCTGCGGTGCCCAGATCTGCGGGGACAGGAGAGGGGCGGTCAGGGCGCGGCTGTCCCCCCTCGGCCTTTCCAGGCCTGGCCGCTGGCGGGGGAAGCTCCGCCCCGGGGGGCTTTCGGGGGGGAGCAGCCCACACCCCACCACCTTATTTTACATCGGCTCGGGGAACGGATGAGGTCGTGGAGGTGATCTTGTCACGCTGGAAGGCAAACAGCCCTTTAGCCACCTCATGGGGTGGAGACTGGGTGAAGATGTGAACCCAAGCACCCTGGGCCCACAGAATGGCGGATGGCTGACGCGCCTTCACTGGAGAGAACGGCAGCCTGGGAAGCCGCGCGGGACCTGGTCTTTGGAAACCTTGGCCTGCCCCTCACCTGCCTCTCCACGGCCCACTAAGTCCTGGAGCCAGGGGGTCAGCCAGCCCCCAGCACGGTTCCCCTCGCACGGGCCTCTTGTCCTGGGGACATCACAGAATAATCCTCAAAGGATGAGGCCTCTCATCTCAGAACCCAAACCCAACTCCATTCCTCAAGAGTCCTGCCACAGAGCAGCTCTCCGCCCTGGCGGGCCACGGCCCAGGCAGCCGTGGGGAGGGCTGCCATTTTCCTCCCTCTCTTCTACCGAAACCCTCTCCTGCAGCTGTCCCCACCCCAACACCTCCCTCCTTCCAGGATCACAGCCTCGCTGGCCTGGCTGCCCACGGGCTCTGCGTCCTGGGTGGAAAGCCCCTGCCCGAGACAGGGCAGGGCCAAGCTCACCTCCAGGCTGGCAGAAAGGGAGCCAGATACACACCTGGGGTCAGGGACAGGTAAAGAAATAAAAGAAATGCCATCAAAATTACCTTAGGAAGATAGGACAGGCTGCCTGGAGAAAGCTTGATATTTTTAAACAGACGCTGCACACTGGCACGCATGGGGGGGGAGGGCACCAAAGCGTGTGGGCAGGGGAAGCTGGGCACGGCGTGGGAACCGCTTCCACAAGGGGAAGATCTCATGCGGGACACAGTGTAATCCTGGCTACTCAGGGGCCGGGACCTGAGGAGCACAGTCGAAAGCCAGCCCGAGCAGGACAGCCCGTGGGACAACTACCTCAGCCACCAAACAGCTGCAAGCGAAGGTGCAGCTGAAGTGGTGGAAAGCCAGCCTTGAGAGACAAGCCCTTCCAAGCCCTATCGCCAGCACGCACGCGTACACACACATGCGCACGCACACACACACACACACACACACACACACACACAAATTCAGTAGTTAGGGGGCAGCAAAAACCAGGATTGATATGATCAAGGCAAGAAAGTGGGTGACGCGACGTCCCTCTTCCTGCTCACTGGGCCGCACGCTGCCCCCCAGCCCAGAGAAACAGGCGTCACTCACCGCCCGTGGAAGGCTCTCGATCGAAGGACAGTGACAGCGAACCCCTGGAAGAGAAGGCGGAGTCCACCGAGGACACCCCCGAGAGCCTCTTGCCGCTGCTGCTGGAGGACGGGCGCTTGCACTCGGAGGAGCCTGGGCTGAGCGCCTCGGGGCCCTCCAGGGCCTGGGAGATGCCGGAGTCCAGCTGGGACAGCAGCTCCGAGAGGCTGCAGTCGTTATCCAAGGGCGGGGCGGAGGCCGGCTGGAGGCGGGAGGACCCTGGCTCAGCCTGTGACAGAGAAGGGGGAGCCGGTGAGGGCTCTGCCTCCGCCAGGCTTCCCACCACAAAGACGTCGTGAGAGGAGAGCACGTTCCTCAACACGGAAACCGCAATGGAGCTCTCTGCCTGGCCCCCCTTCCCCCGGCACCGTCCAGACAACAGGCTAGTGGCTTGGGACCGGCTTAGACAGGACTCAAAGGAAGGAGAGGAAATTGGGCTGGATCCCCTGCCCTGCCTTTGAGCTGTGTTAAGCCCAGCTTGGGGTCTGTGCAGGGGTAAGGAGCAGGGTGAGGCCAGGCTACGGGACAACAAGCCATCAGAAACCAACGCTAGGCTACTGGGTGGCTCAAAGAGGTGTGGCTTGTGCCCGGTAACCTGATGGAATGCACGCTCTCCCCACATCCACCGCTCTATTTACTCCACTCGGTGGCCTGGCACGCTGAGCTCCGTCTACCTGCTACGTGCTACGCCTGGCTGCCTTCGTGGGCCTTATCAGGGGCCAGGTCCACCTGTACCAGCACCTACCAGCACCTTTGTCCTGACTCTCACCTGAGCCTTCCATGTTTACCCATCTCCCTGGAGAAACTGCCCAATGCCAGATAAGGCTGAGCTGTAGAGCTGGCTTATCAGACCTCACACTGCACGCCTGCTCAGCCTTGGTACCTGGAGGGCGCTCGGCTAGCCTGGCATTTGGAACCTCTTATCATCTCTGAAGTGACCTCAGTGACACTTGGCAAGTAAATCATTTATGAGCAGCTAAACCATTTATGAGCAGCTAAAAAGTGACCGGCTTCTCAGGCTGGTTCAGGTGCAGAGGACGCGGGCGCCCGGGAGAGGGGCCTCGCGTCCGTCAGGGTTGGGTGTGCGCCTGCAGCTCGCACGGCACAGGCACCGGGCAGGACGGGCCGCCCGTGGGATTCGCTCGCGTGAGCGGATGGGGGCAGGACGGGCCGCCCGTGGGATTCGCTCGCGTGAGCGGATGGGGGCAGGCCGGGCTCAGGAGAGGAAGGTCTATAGAGAACCCCTACCTCACTCCTGGGCTCCGGGGAGCCTTTCCCACCCAGCTCGGGAGTGGCTTCCTTCACCTCCTCCTCAGGCTTTTCGCACAGGTCCTCCGTTTCAGAAGTAATCTCTTCAGGGAGAGAAAACAAGAAGCACATGATTTCCCCCCCCCCCCCCCCCCCCGCAATTGTGTGGGCCTGGGCGCTCTTCCTGATACTTCAGCTCAAGGCGCATGGTCTACCACTTGAGCCTCAGCACCACTTCTAGTTTTCTGGTGGTTTACTGAAGAGTTTCACGGACTTTCCTGCCCAGGCTGGCTTTGAACCATGATCCTCAGATCTCTGCCTGAGTAGCTAGGATGACAGGCGCGAGCCACCGGCGCCCGGCTTCACGTGTGACTTAGATAATGGTATCTGTGGGATCCTGAGGTGACAGGGGACGCCAGACCCTGAGACCTGTTGGCAGCAGACAGCAAGCCAGGCACTACCGCTTCCCAGGCGGGCTGCAGGCAGGGCCAGGAGCGAGTGCCGTGGGCACCCATCTGCAGGGGCTCCCCGGGCCATGTGGGTGCCTTCCCCCGTCACCCGCTGTCCCCACCAGCGCTCATGTTGAATGTCAGCAGGGACAGTCCCTCACGGGAGGACTAGACCCAGGAGAAGTGAAAGGAAGGTGGCAGGCCGCCCGGCAGGTCATCTCCGGAACGACGGGCTGCCCTATCAGAACTTGAACTTGGGCATTTTGATCTCCCTGGGCTCCGCTGGGCAGCAAATGCAGCTCAGGCTGGGAACCAGGGGCAGGGAGGGATGGAGCTGAGCACTGGCTTCCCACAGCCCCGGCCCAGCATGGAGGGCTGGACCACCAAGGCCAGGCCTGAGCCAAACCATGTGTGCAGCGTCCACACGACCCACTGTTCCCCACCGCACCTGAGCTGGCCCCCGCGCCTGCCCAGGTCACGTGACCAACTCACCCTGGAAGGTGGGCCGCTCGTGAGGGTCCTCGTGCCAGCACCTCTGCATGAGGTGGATCAGGTTGCTGCAAGCCCGGGGCCGGGGCCTGCAGATGGGTGGGAGTTCGGGGCGGAGGCCCTTCACCACCTTGACCATGATGTGTAGGATGTTTTTCTCATCTGCAAAGGAGAGAAGAACACACGAAGGCACTGCTGCCCCATCTTCCAGGTTTTACAAACAGCCTGTCGCATCCAACCACCCAGCAGCTCTGGGTTGTGATTGGGAACCAACCCAGGCAGGAATTACAAAAAATGAATCACCCATTCATCATAAAAAAGCCAGAAACAGGGGCTGGGAAGGTGGCTCAGTGGTAGAGCGCTTGCCTTGCATGTATGAGACCCTGGGTTCTATTCCTCAGCACCACATAAGCAGAAAAAGCCGGAAGTGGTGCTGTGGCTCAAGTAGTAGAGCGCCAGCCTTGAGCTGAAGAGCTGAGGGACAGCACCCAGGCCCAGAGTTCAGCACCCATGACCAAAAAAACAAAACAAAAAACAGAAGTAGAGATCTGGCTCAAGTAATAGCTAGCCTTGAATGAAAAGGCTACGGGGTAGTGCCCAGGCCCCGAGCTCAGGTCCCATTCCAGCTCACAAAAACAAATAGCGCAGCCGGGTGCCGGTGGCTCACACCTGTAATCCTAGCTACTCAAGAGGCTGAGATCTGAGGATCACAGTTCAAAGCCAGCCCAAGCAGAAAAGTCTGTGAGACTCTTATCTCCAATAAACCACTAGAAAACCACTAGTGGTGCTGTGGCTCAAGCAGTAGAGCGCTCGCCTTGAGCTGAAGAGCTGAGAGACAGCACCCAAGCCCAGAGTTCAAACCCCGCAACTGACCAAAAAAACCCCAAAGAAACAAAAAACCAAACAGGGCCTGTCTCTGGAGGACACAATCTACCCAGGACACAGAGCAGCAGGGCTCCGCCGTCATCACCATTACTGCTCTGGCTCTCCCGCCATTCTGTTATTTTGGCTCAGCTTCTGCAGGAAGGAGCCCAGGTGGACCCCAAGGAAGCCAGCTTTGTTTTCTGTTCCACTTAAACCACGCAGTCCATGCACGAAGCCGCCCGCACTCTCCCATTCCCACAGCCCTCGCCGCCCCTACATTTCCAAACACGCCCTCTGCAGAGGCAGGGTGGAAAGTTGGCCCAGCATCACGGGCCGCTGGCGGGGATCCGTCCCGACTCCGCTCCACTTTCCCGTTAAGTCTTGTGCAACAGCTGTGTTCCGTCCCTGCAGGTTATTTCCATCACCTTGCAGACTTTTCCAACCCCGACAGGCTCCCGAACCGAATGAAAGTGAAGGCAACACCCGGGAGCATTTCTGTGCTAAGTATGGGCCAAAGAGGCCTGCGGGACGCCGGGTGCCTGCACCCTGAGCCCCAGATCCAGACAGGAGCCAACAGAACACCAGGACCGCGATGGGCAATGCAGATACCACGCAGCTGGCTCCTGGTGTCACTTCTACTGGACAACTGAATACCCAACTGGCAGGCCGGCACAGAGGAACCCAGAGCATGGGGTTCCACGGGGGCCCACCGGGATGAAAGGGCCATGCGCCAGGAGACAGCACGGACGCCAACTCTCAGAAAAGAGATGCCGGTGACTGGATTTTCACAAGTCCCCAAGACACGCAATGTCACTTGTCCCTCGTGTGTACTGGAGCCAGCACGGGCTCCCAGGCCTCTGCGTGTAAGCAGGAGCTCTACTTCCGAACCTCTTTGGCCGCGCCACACAACAGGGGTGCCAGCCAAGGAAGGAAGGAAAAATCACTTCCCAATGCAGCCAGAAGCCACTCAAGGGTCACAGTAACCCCAGTCAAGGTATTCAAATTGCAAGGGCGGAAGTGGGGCAGGGGGTGCCCGAGAGACGCGGGGCTCTCGGCTACGCCAGAATCCGCTGGGGCAGGGGCGGTCCATCACCCGCCACTGCAGACGCCCTTGCCAAGGGTGCGAGCATCTCCCCACACAGCTGCACTCTCGCGGTCAACACGGTGTCTTCACCACGACTCTTCCTTGCTTTGCTTTTTATGTTTTTGTTTTTCGTGGGCCTGGGTCTCACATAGCAGCCAGGCTGTCCACCAACTCACGGGCTCCCTGCCTCAGTCTCCCAAGGGCTGGGATGTCAGAACTGCACCGCATCAGTTTAGGCCCTTTTTACAATTAAAGCTATGTATGTATTCATTTATTGCGCTGGTCCTGGGACGTGAACCGGGGCCTGAGCACTCCATCCCTTGAGCCACAGCTCTGTTCCAGCTTTTTTTTCCCTCCCTGGTTAACAGGGCATAAGAATCTTACGGACTTTCCTGCCTGGCTGGCTGCTAACAGGGAGCTCCAGCTCTCAGCCTCCTGAGTAGCTAGGATTGCAGGTGTGAGCCACTGATGCCTGGATTGCTTGTTTGTAAATGAAAAGGAAAAGGTGTTATCTGGAAACATCCAGCAGAGGCAAATCTATAGAGACAGAGAGCAAGACCACCAGGAGCTGGGAGGAGCAGGAATGAGGACAGACATCTGGAGAGATGGGAATCTTCTAGAATCAGAGAGTGGTGCTGCTTGGGCATACTGAATGTCACAGCATTATACATTTAAATGGTAAAACTAAGAAAATTCTAGGTGTATTTTCCCACCACCACCACCGGAAAAAAAACTGACTAGCACAAACAAAGAGACACCTTCAGGCCTGCCTTGTCCCACATGTAAATAAGACGGCGCCAGTGCTTTGTCAGCGGCAGAATTCTCAGGCTGCAATGAGGAGGCTCCACGCCCCGTGACAGGACAGGGCAGGCCCCGCCCTGAGCACAGCTTGGGTGGCACAGCCCAGAGCGGGGGCCACAGCAGAGCTGAGAAGACACTGGGATTACACCCCCACCATATCAGGCAGGGCCACTCACCTGAAAATGGCTTCTTTTGTGTCAGCACACCCCAGATCACGATGGCGAAGCTGAAAGGGACACAGGGATGTGAGTTTACCTGAGAGCTGGAGCCTCCAAAAAGACCCAGGGCACTGGCAGACCACCCTAGGGCCAGAGAAGCAGGGGAGACCTGCTCCTGCACTTCCAGAGGGCGGGGGGGGGGGGGGGGGGGGAGGGCAGCGGAGGAAGCCCATGGTTTGCAGCTGAGATGCTCAGCAGCTGCGACTCTGCCAGCTGAGCTAGGCCTCAGACAGCAGCAAGGTCCCCAGAGCAGCTCTGCAGCTGGGCCCGGGGCTCCCAGGAAGAGTGGCCCCAGCACAGGCAGGTGCTAGCACTGCAGAATAAGGGCAAAAATGAGGGAAAGACGGCGCTTGCTTATGGCACCGATCTCTTCTCTGTTGTGGCTTCAACCCTCGGAGACACAAATTCAGGTTCTAACCAAAACCCTGGCAGCCCACAAGGGCTGTTGAAGAGTGCACAGATGCCTGCTACTCGGGAGGCTGAGACCGCGGAGCACCGTGTCACTAGCTCTGGCAGCAGGAAATAAATGGAAGGTAGTAGTTTAGGCTGTCTGGGGCAAAAAGGGAAATTGCATGTCCAAAATAAGCAGGGGAAAAACTGGCTAGGAACACGGTTCAAACACAAAGCCCTGTGTCCAAACCCTATTCCACCAAAAATGAATAAAGTATTATCAGGAAACAAGTAGCTGAGCTCTAGAGTCTGTATTTCTTTCTAGCTCTCTCTATACACGTAAATTGTATACATACTATACATACTCTGAATAGATATATGTAGATATCCAGAATAACCTTATATACATTATATATGTGTATACATATATATGTGTCTATATATATATATATATTATATATATAAAATAGGGGCTGAGAACATGGCTTAGTGGTTATACATGCTTGCCTAGCATGCATAAAGCCCCAGATTTGATCCCTCAGTACCACATACACAGAAAAAGCCGGAAGTGGGCTGGGAAGGTGGCTCAGTGGTAGAGCGTTTGCCTTGCATGCCTGAGGCCCTGGGTTCGATTCCTCAGCACCACATAAGCAAAAAGAAAAAAGCCGGAAGTGGCGCTGTGGCTCAAGTGGTAGAGCGCTAGCCTTGAGCTGAAGAGCTGAAAGACAGCACCCAGGCCCAGAGTTCAGGCCCCACGACCGGACCCAAAAAGAAAAAGAAAAGGAAAAGCCAGAAGTGACATTGTGGTTCAAGAGGTGGAGTGCTAGCCTTGAGCAAAGAAACTCAGGGACAGTGTCCACCCTGAGTTCAAGCACCAAGACTGGCAAAAAAATTGTATATACACACACACATATACACATATGTAAAATTGGAAGAATACAAAATAAATTACTCTGGATACACCAAAAGTGGGCTAAACCTGGCTCATTTTTAAAAACCAGAGACAGAAACATAAAAGCCTTGAATCCACGCGCTGAGCCTGCCCAGGGCCCGTGTGGAGAGCAGCTGCGTACAGACACCCAAGACTTGACTCCCACTGAACACTGACTGCTTTTTGCAGGTTCAAAAGTTGAAACTCGACTCTGCAACAGGCAGCGCATGTCACCCGCGCGATCGCGATGCGCACAAGCCGTGACTAGCCCCGCAGGGCCATCCCCGGGACGCTGAGGGCGGCACCTCGGCTTTGTCAAACCAGTCTGCCGGGAAGGCAGTGGCACTGGCGGGAGGTGGGGCCGGATGCCGGGGCCGCCCAGGCTTCAGCGCATACCTGCTCTCTCCCTCCTCCCTTCTCCAAGAAGAAAGGCTGTGCTGGAGCCCTGTGCCATCTGGAGAGGGCAAGGAGGGGCACCTGGACGGGTCAGAGCGCTGGTGGAGTTGTGGCTGGTGACCCCAAGCACAGGCCTGCAGTGGGCCGCGGAAGCTGCTCACCCCAACGGACCCAAGGGCCACAGAAAGCAGCAGGCACTTCCGACAGACAAGCCATAAAGCCCACATTCTGCACTAACGCCAAAGGGTGTACGGGGAGAACTGGCAGCTGCTCTGCCGCCTCCACCTGGCACCAGCAGATACCCTCCCCCTCAGCCAGCACTGCCCAAGGAAAGAAAGGTCTCCGGGTGCCCAGGTAACTAGATCCAACAGGCAAAACCGTGAGCCAGACAGGCATGTCCAATCCCTTTGTGCATACAGCCAAGGACTGAGGGGCACCGGGCCATTCAGGAAGCTGTTGTTCTGGGCACACAAACCAGCCTCGCTCCTCTCCCCGCCCCCCTGGCCCCACCCCGCTGGTCACATGGGGATGGAGTCCAGCGCTCATACCTGTAGACATCGTGCTTGGTGTCAAAAAGCCGAGTCTTCTCCCGGATGCGCTCCGGGGGGAGGTAGGCAATGGTCCCAAACAGGCCGTCCATGCTGAGGTCGTGCGTGTGGGACAGCCCGTTGACCTTGGCCAGTCCAAAGTCGGAGATCTGCAACAGTGGTGGGAAGGAGACACTGGTCTTCAGTGGAGCCGCGCGAGGCCAGCGCCAGCATCTCCCCTCCGCCGCGGCAGACACCCGGCCCCGCCCCGCCATCCCACCCACAGTCAGCCCAGGCCTGCTCCTGGAGACCTCCTGGCCTCTCCAGGGAGTCCTGCCTCCGGGCAGAAGCTGCAGCAGAGCCAAATCTGGGGGCATCATGAGCTGTGAGCTTGCACTTGATGGGTGGGAAAAACATGGTGCTTTGAGGGAGGACACTGATTTTAAGGAACTCGAGAACAACAGCCCTTCTGGAAGAAGCATCGGTGTAGCCTTGGAGAAACGCAGCCCTCAGTCTTCAGGCAAAGAGGACACGTGAGGAAGCCCGGGCATCCGGTTATGCAACCTGCCAGCTGGGAGCCACAAGTGGCAGCACGTCCTCTACAGCACAGCGTGCCCGCAGAGGCTTTAAAGAGCAACACACACCTGACCCTTCCTCACCAGGAGCCCGCTGACTCCCCCAGACACAGTGCCCCTTGCCACCCTTGCCCAGCGCCCTCAAAAGCAGCCACACCTGCCCCCAAGCCTGTGGTTACAGGCAGGTCTCCGCTGGGCAGTGTCCAGACACCATGGGCAGGACTGGCAGGCCTCGGTCGGGAGGGCGGCCTCTCCCGGTGTAGACCAGACTTTGTGCCACTGGGTGGGATTAAAGGCTTGTAGACCTCCTGAAGGGCCCTCAACAGTCCCTTTCTCTTCCCCTTCAAGGCTGATGTATTTTTAAGCCTTTTAATTTGCTCCTGGGCTCCTCCTCAGACACACCCAGGCAGCGAGAGGAAATGGCTGAGTCAGGGCTTCGCCTCTGCCAGGCTGGCCATGCCCACAGGGAGCCGTGGGCATCAGTCTCCACAGCTTCACAGCAGGAAGAACTCAAGCCAGTAGGTGAGCCGCTCTTCCAGTGATCCCTGAGCCCAGGGGAAGAAGGTGAGGTGAGGGGGAGAGGGCAATCCCCGGGACCGGCCCTGCAGTCAGGGACACAGCCACCAATCCAGGGCCTGCTTGGTTCTGTTGGCTCCACAAGCCCCTAAGGCCTGGGGAGGGAACCCTAACCCCCCTTCCCCACAGTTCTGGGAAGGAATCTGCCAATTCCCTAGGTTAAAGCCACCACCCTGTCCGGCAGACTCGCAAGGAGCAGGTTTAGAGAGAGAAGTACCCACAACTGGCAAGGTTTTAAACTCCAGAATGAAGGCACAACAGGACTTGACCCCAGCGCCGGGTGCTTTGCTTCTGTTCCTCCCCGTCATCGCCAGAGACCTTCAGAATGCTCTCGGTGATGAGAAAGTCACCTCATCGTGGAAGACCTGGCGTCACGTGCACGCCGGGGCAGAAGACGGCCTTTCCCACTCACCCTGAGCTCACGGCGACGGGCAGCAAACGCCTCGTGATTCACAAACCCGCTCTCCAGCTGGCACATGACTCAGTATCCCCAGGAGCTCAAGGCGCACAGGAGCACTCAGAGCGTAATCCCTCCACTTCAAGTCTGCTGGACGGGACCAACCCCGTGGCCCACTGGGGCCTCGAGGAGAGGCAGCGCAGACACGCCAGGCCGCGCCCTCCCGCGCCAGGCAGCCCTCCCGCACCAGGGCTTTGCAGAGCCTGGTGTGGACCAGCCGGAGCATGAGAACCGAACCATGGTATTCCACTGGCTACCCGACCCCAACACAGACACTCAGAGTCCTGAATAGGATGCTAATACGGACGATATAGTAACAGGAATAATGATGATAACGATGGGAAGTAAAAACTTGAAGTAGGGGCCGGTAGGGTGGCTTAGTGGTAGAGTGCTCGCCTAGCATGCATAAAGCCCTGGGTTCGATTCCTCAGTACCACATACACAGAAAAAGCTGGAAGTGGCGCTGTGGCTCAAGTGGTAGAGCGCTAGCCTTGAGCACAAAGGCTCAGAGAAAAGTGCCCTAGGCTCTGAGTTCAAGCCCTGTGAGCAGCACAAAAAGTAAAATAAATATGAAATCCTTGTAGAGGGAACATAAATGTGTAACCTTGATGACAGGTTAAAGGATCCAAGTTCATCTGGAGCTATAGGGCTAAGGAGGGGTGAGGGTACTAGTAATGAACTAAATATTTGGGCTGGGAAGGTGGCTCAGTGGTAGAGCGCTTGCCTTGCATGCCTGAGGCCTTGGGTTCGATTTCTCAGCACCACATAAGCAAAAAGAAAAGACCCGGAAGTGGCGCTGTGGCTCAAGTGGTAGAGCGCCAGCCTTGAGTTGAAGAGCTGAGGGACAGCGCCCAGGCCCAGAGTTCAGGCCCCACGACCGGACCCAAAAACAAAAACGAAAACAAAAAAACTTGAAGTAGTGTTGCGGAATTTCAGCCCTACTCATTCACCTGCTAAATGGCGGTGTGGGCCTGGGGCACGAGGGGGCGGGTGGCAGGAGAGGGGGCGGGTAGCAGGAGAGGGGGCGGACGGCAGAAGGGCAGCTCCTACCTCAAGATTCCAGAACAGCAGTCCAGTGACAGTCCACTGAAAACTGCCCAGAAACCAGAGGCCGGGCGACACAAGGCACCCAAGCTGTGGCCGGGGCTCGAAGGCACAAACTCTTAGCAGCCGGGCACCGTGTCACACCCTGGGAGAGGCATTTCCAAGGGGGCTCGGCCCGCGCCGTCCCCACCTCGCTAGCTGACCGCCAGGACTCCTCACCAACAACCAGAGCAGCCCCGGCTCCTCAAAGCCAGCTGCGTCAGAGCGGAGGGGACACAAACCCAAGCCCTGGACACGAAGGCACCATGACCCGCAGACTTGTCAGCGGTCAGCCCTCGCTTCCTCCGAGGGTGGGCATTCAGGGCCTGCTGGGCCCGCGCCAGATGTGCACCAGCACCTGGGCCCGGCAAGGTGACCTAGCCGTAACAAGAGCGCGGCACCCCCGGAGCGGGCCCGTGCTGCACTGCCGGGATGACCCCAGAAAGGGGACATCCCTGTCCTCTGAGGCGCGTCTCCTCTGCTCACCCAGCACTGTGTGCCAGCCACAAGAGGCGGAGGACAAGCACCCGCTGTGCTGAGGGTCTCTGCAGACCCTGGGACCATAGCCGCAGGTGCCCCTGAGCAGCGGCATTGGGAGTAGGCAGCCCACACCTCACCGACCTCAACTCCCCTCACCTGCACGCCCCACAGCCAGCCTGCCTGCCTGAAGGCCCAGCCCCAGGTTCGGCCATGGAATAGTCTGCAACCCTCTCCTCCCCTCCCCGCACCAACCGCCAGTGCCCGGTGGCGGATCACCAACCACTTTCTGTGTGCAAGCAGGAAGAGGAGGAGAGCACCATGTTCTGGCTACTGTTGCGTGACCCTGACCTCGAATCTACCCAGAGCCCTGCTGGCAAGTGACCACCATCCACTCTAAAGGGAAGGGCATGGCTGCCCTGCCCTGGGAGAACTGAAGCGAGCCCTGCCAGCCAGCAGGAAACGGGAACCGGGGGCCGGGTGCGGGCACATGCTGAAGAGCGCGGGCACATGCCAGAGCTGAGGGCAGCTGCCTCGGCCCAAGCCAGGCGCTACCAGTCAGTCTCCACACTCTCCACTTCCTCTGGCCTCTGCTGGAGGCCAGGGCTGACCTCTCACTGCGCAAGGCCTGCGGAGCCGACTCCCGGTGACGGCTGTCAGAGACCAACTGCCTTCTCCACCTGCAGGGCCACGCAGGCCACGCGAGGAGCAGAGTGCATCCTGAGTTCAGGTCCCTAGCGGCCAGGCCCACGTGAGGAGGGGCGGACACGGAGTGCCGTGGGAGCAGGGAGAGCCAGGTGAGTGGGCACACGGTCAGGACTCAGCCGGGCTGCCCTGCATGGGAGGGAGGGGCCAGGCCTGGGCTCGCGGGGTCCTCGGGGCCCTCTGCTTTTGTGGGGGTGCGGGCTATGTGCCCGCCGTGTACACGTCACCTCCGGGATGGAAGGTGGGATGCAGAGGCCCTTGGGGAAGATGCCAGATAGCCAAAGCAACACCACCTGAGACGAAGATGGCAACAGCGCTCCGGCTTCTAAGTGCCAACGCAGCCACAGCAGCCTCCCACCGCAGTGCCCATCCACCCTCCATGGGACACAAAGCAAAGGAAAGGAAAGGCAGCGCCGCAGCAAAGCAGCACGGCACGCTCTGCCACTGGCAGGGGAAGGGCAGGCGCGGGGCAGGAGCCCGGGTCCCCGACGCTGCAGGGAGCGGGTGTCCTCACGGGAACCCAAGCTGGCTCTAAGTCCAAACCCAGTCTCAAGGGTGCAGAGTTCAGTCAAGCATCAGGACTAGGAGAGAGGCCTCAGTGTGCTTCCAGCAGTGGGGACAAGCTGGGCACCCTGAAATCTTTATCCCAAGAAAAGACCCTACCCTTGATCAAGTCTTTCCGTCCTGATTCCCAGATACCCTGGCCCAGAGCCCCCGCTCCCCACCCCCAGGGGCACACGTGGTCCCACCTTCACGTGGTAGTGGGCGTCCAGCAGGATGTTGGCGGGCTTCAGGTCCAGGTGCAGCAGGGGCGGGGACATGCAGTGCAGGAAGTTCATGCCCACAGCCGTCTCGTGCACGATGCGAAAGCGCAGGTCCCAGGGCAGCGGCTGGGCGGCCAGTAGCTTCTCCAGGGAGCCGGTCTCCATGTACTCCATGACCAGGCCCACCGGCTCCCGGCAAATGCCGTACACAGGCAGAACGTAGCGGAACTTGGCCATCTCCATCTTCTTGGCCTCTTCCAGAAGCTCCAGGCGCTCCCTGAAAAAGACGAAGCCGTGAGGAGCAGGCAGCAAGCAGTCACCAAGCAACAGACCCAGAGCTGCTGGCCAGGACTCGGCCAGCTCCGCGTGTGAGCTGAGCCTCCTGGGGGGTCTCTAGCCTCAGTGGTCCAAACCCACCTCTGCCTCAGGTCATCGTAAGGCAGAGCAAGGGGCAGTGCTTGAGGCCCCGAGTCTGGAGGCAGACGGGAGAGTTCAAGCAGGATGATGGAGGAGCTATTTACATATGACGGACAGCTGCTATTTATCTAGCAGAAGAACCCCACTCAAGTCCTCTGTGCGAGCCCAACCATTTCTGCATCAACCCCCCCTCTCCTCCTTGGCCAACAGAACCGCAGCAGCCCACGGCAAGGCTGAGGCCCCAGGCAGGGGCCATATTTACCTTTACACTAAAATATAAACAACGATGTGCCCAGAACCTAGTGGCTCAGACCTGTAATCAATCCTAGCTACTCAGGAGGCTGAGATCTGAGAATCATGATTATTAAAAGCCAACCCAGGAAGGGAAGTCCATGGGACTCTTATCTCCAATTAATCAGCTGGAAGTGGAGTTGTGGCTCAATTGACAGAGTGCCAGCCGTCAGCAAAAATAAATAAATAAAATAAAATAAATCTAAGGGACAGCATCTAGGCCCTGAGTTCAAGACCACAGACCAGCATGTACACAAAATTCATTTTCACAGCTGACTAATACTTCAGTGCATGAATATACCATGCTTCATTCATTAACTCATTCATTCACGTACAGTCACCTGCTTTTGTCAATGAATTCTTACCAGGGACATATCCCTTTTGTTGGTACATGGTCTGTGGAGGTAAGAAGCTGCAACACGGGCCTGCAGCTTTCAGAGCCTGAACATTTGCCCTCCAGCCCTACAGAGAGAACATCTGGTAACTCAGGCTGAGGTCATCGCCGTGGTATTTTTACAGAGGTTTTGGTTTTTGCTTTTGTCGGCGCAGGGGTCAGAAGCAGCATGTGAGGTGGGGAAAGGGCTGGACGCCGGAGGCTGTGCTGGCCATCCAGGTATGTATCTCCCCAAAGCGGACACGGAAGTGCTCGGGAGTCGCCTTACCCAGGGATAATCTGCTCTCTAGGATAATCTGTTCTTCCCAAGGGAAGCCACTGGAGCTGGGAACTGGACAGGCCCGGGCAGGATGCAGAGTCCAGCACAAGTCCCTGCGGGCAACCTCAGGCAGAGCTGGACCCCTGCCCGCCACAGGGGCTCTCCTGGGCCCAGAGCACAGTTGGGAGCGTACCCTACACCTGCTTCCAGCTCGGCCTGCTGGAGGGCATGACACCACACTAAAAGGATGTGGTGGGCAAGAGCCTCCTGGGACCCTGTGTTTCCCAACCACAGCACCAAGTCCTCGGGGCTGAGCATCTCCAGGGAGCACCCCCTAATGGGGGTGGAGGAGGGGAGCAGCGCAGGCTGCGGGCATACCCCAAGGTCTCAGGGAGCAGACTCACTCCTGGCCCAGGAACGTGTGGATCAGACGTCAGGAATGGACCACTGAATGACTAGAAAACAGGGTCCAAAAGGGAGCATTTCCTTGCACTGTGGCAGAATGGCCAACGACTGAAAGGCGGGGCACTCCCAGAGGCGTGGAGCCAGGCCAAGGGATGCCTGGCTGGGTGGCAGGGAGGCCCCTGGGCAAGGTTCCCATACCGACCTACTCTCCCCTCCCTCCAGAGCCTAGTGCCTGGCCCGGGACAACCACACTTGCAGCCGCAGGGCTGGAGACCACCGGGAAGCAGAGCGCCGGGGGCCACCTCTGGCTTGGTGACCGGCACAGTCCAGACGCCAACCGCAGGCATTTGAAGAAAAGACAAATCCGGGTTTGGATGCCAGTGACAAGCATCACATAAAGGAAGCTGCTCACAGGAGGAGGAGTAAAGGACACGCTGGGCTGGGCTGGGCTGGGCTCTGTGCTCCTCTGGGCCGGTTGGTTAAACCAGGCCCTGTGGGGCTATCGGCATGGCTCAAGGGTAGACGTAGCAAACGTGAGACCATGCGTTCAAGCCCAAGGATGGAAAAAATTTAAAAACAGTCCTTAGTTCAAGGACCAAGGACCATCTCTAACGACAGCCCTAACTCCACCTGCCTGTCGCAGTGGGACCTGCGACCCACTGGTGTTTCTTTTTCTGTCTGGTTCAGAATGAAACCCATCGTGTCTTTTTCCTCCTGATTTTATTTTTCTTTTAAAAAGTGGCCAGAGAGGCCAGGCACCAGTGGTTCATGCCTGTCATCCTAGCGACTCAGGAGGCTGAGATCTGAGGATTGCAGTTCAAAGCCACCCCAGGCAGGAAAGCCCATGAGACTCTTTATCTCCAATGAACCACCAGAATACCAGAAGTGGCACTGTGGCTCAACTGGTAAGAATGCTAGCCTTGAGTGGAAGAGCTGAGGGACAGCACGCAGGCCCAGAGTTCAAGCCCCATGACTGAAAAGGAAAAAAAGGTCAGAGCCAAGTGCCGGAGGCTCATACCTGTCATCCCAGCTACTCAGGAAGCTGAGATCTGAGGATATCGGTGCAAAGCCAGCCTAGGCAGGAAAGTCTGTGAGACTCTTATCTCCCTCCAATTAACAGAAAACTGGAAGTGGGGCTGTGGCTCAAAGTAGTAGAGCGTAGTCTTGAGTGAAAAAGCTTAGAGACAGCACCCAGGCCCTGAGTTCAAATCTGGTGACTGGAAAAAACCAACAACACAACAAGTGTTCAGTTTATATCCATCCTGCCTGCTAGGTGGCATGGGGCCAGGAGATTCTCCAGCAGAATTTGGGGCCCGGCCTTCAAAGTGACTGAGCAGGGGGCCAGGAGCCCGGTGGCTCATGCCTGTATCCGAGGAAGCTGAGACCCGAGGATGGCAGTTCAAAGTCAGCCCAGGGGGGAAAGTCCATGGGACTCTTACCTCCTCCGGTTATGCACTACAAAAGCTGAAAACAGAGCTGTAGCTCAAGGGTAGAGTGCTAGCTTTGAGCAATAAAGCTCAGGGACAGTGCTTAGGACCAGAGTTCAAGCACCAGGACCATATCAATCAATCAATCAATCAATGCATCTATCTATCCATCCATCTACAGAGAGAGGGAGAGAGAGAGAAACGCATAACCAAGTGGGCAGGTTATGCCCTCCAGTGGGCTGGAGGCATGGACCAGCTAGTATTTATTTTCAAGCCAGCCATTCGTAAGGAACATCCCGACAGTGCCCCCCCCTCCAGCTTGACGGATCGCAGGTATGTATTTCGAGACAAAGTCAACTCAGTGAATAATGCATACCTTGCTAGTAGAAACTATGAGCTCCTCGGCCTGAAGGACTAGACTGCACGGCCAGGGACTTGGGCTGCAGTGGTCAGTAGAGACAGGCCATGAGCACACATCTTCCTCTCCACTGTGCCAAGTTTAGCAAGTTCTCCTTCTCCCAGCCCTGGGGCCTTTCCAGAACAGAGACTCCATTTAAAAGGCTCTTCAGGTGCTGGGCTGCAGGGCAAAGCCCATCCCAGCTCGAGTGAGCTGAGGGAGTGCACTGGGCTCTCTACACAGGGGCTTGCAGGGAGGAAGCCCTGGGCCGCTGCCTCCCCTCCCCACCCCCCCAGCCCCCCCCACACCAACCCCTGCCCCAGGGACAAAATTAGAAAACCCTCAGGGCACCCGGGCTGCTGAGGAAGGGGCGGTGGCGACCTCAATTCAGGGCAGGAGGTCAAGGCCTTCACAGAAATTGCATCTGCCATTTCCAAGCCCAAATACCTCAGACCTCACTGTGCAACCTTTCCTGAGTTTCACACGGCCCTCGGCATCCAGCAGGCTGCTCCCAAGTTCTAGCCTGCGGGAGCCTTCTGCAACTCAATAAGCGTGAAAGGTGCCAGGCTTTCAGCCATGTCCCCAGCCCCCTACGGCGATTATTATGTAAAATACACCCCAGTAGTGTTTGATCACTCAGGTGGCACAGGCTGCTTCCACAGGCCCAGAGGGTGGGTGCCATATTCTCATCTCCTTGGCCCAGGTGAAGAGGCGTGGACCTGCCTTCAGAGCAGGAACAGGGAAGGTACCCTTCCTGCCCCAACCCCATTCTGATTCTAAATGGGAAATTGGAGGTTCCACATCTTAAAGATATTCCTCAGTTGTGCTCTGTTCCATTTTCTCCTCATCTGTAGTTAGCATAGTGTACCCCAGAAGTGCCAGGAAAAGCATGTGCTGATCACTTCAGAAAGGAACTTTCCATGGGGGGGCACTCAGCTAACTCAAGAAATTCCAGAGCTAAAGACCTTGGGATGTACAAAGCTGGCCCAGGTCCCTGTAGACACTGGGGCCGGGCAGAGGCTGAGGTGAGAGGCGGGCAGGCCGTGGCACAGGCCCTGGGAAAGCACCCCAGGAGAAGCAGCGGGATGTGGCACAACCAGGCCCCAGCACTGCAGCCCAATTACATTCCCAGGGAGCCTCGGAGGGGTTCCCACACTGCTATTTTTAAAACTGACAAGAATCAGGCTTGTCCAATTGTCAGCACTGCGCTTACAAACGCGGGGTTTGCTCGGGCTCGCCCTGACTAGCCGGGGCCCAACTCTGCATCAGCAGCTCTCTCCAGGCACTTTGATTCTGAGCTTCCTCTTGGCTAGGGGTAAGGGGTCGGGGAGGAATAGGGCCTTTGGGGTCACCCTGTTCTCTCCTGACTGGTAAGTGTGCCAGTCCAGACCCTCGCCAGGCCAGGGGACCCACATAAGTGTTGGCCAGAGAGGCCGGCAACCCTGGACCCTCCCAGGGCACCTGGCCCCAGAAATAAAGACACATGAGTGAGCGGGCTGTCACTTGTGACTCCCCCTCCCCAAAGTACTCCGTGGGCACATACTGTTCTGCCCCAAGAGGCCTGGGCACCATGTACCTGGGACAAGTTTGTCTGCATATTCATAAGGTTGATGCCAGCCAGGCCCAGAGTGTTTAACAGCTGGGGCCAGGGAAGCCACCCCGTGCAGATAGCCCTGGCCAGTAAAAAAGGCCTTATCCTCACCCACGGAGGTCTCTAAGCAACAGGTGGAGAAAGCCATAAATGACTTCATTCGTCCTGGAAAAAGGCCCGGACCACAGGCCTCAAACAGGCAAGATAACACATAGCTGGGAGGGCCAGGGCCCTGGGGAGTCCCACTCCTTTCTCAGGATAATGCAGGGCGGACAGCAAATCAGAAAAGTACTGGGCCAAACACAACTGCTTCAAGGCTTAGAAGCAACCTGGCTAGGCCAGGAAGCAACCAAGCCCTCAGGTACCACCCACCGCTGACAGAGGCAAATTCCTCTGCCGAGTCTCACGCCAGCCGAGCAGTGAACCACTGAGCCACTAACCTTCCTAACATAGCAGGGACCTCAATAGCTCAGCTACGGAGGGCAACCGGGCTGCCAAGCCGCCAGCCCTGCCTGCACACCCCCGGGGCCAAGTGCAGGAGGCAAGATCCTCTGACCTTGACTTAGCCACAGACATGCCACCACTTGCCTGGTTAGGGCAGAGCAGGAAAGACTTCCCCAGTTAAAGGACAAACACCTTTCAATCAAGACGGGCAACATCCCAGGTGACTGCCCGTTCTGCAGGAAACATGGGCTGGCTGCCGCTAGGACCCAGCCTGCACAGGGCGGTGCTTGTTTACCTACTTTCCATTACAAGAAAACGGCGTCAACATACTTGCTAGTGAACGAAGCTCTCTGTGCCCAGGAAACGATAGCACAGCAACATACCCACGGCAGAAAAAGGCCGGGATACCTTAAAGAATCTAACAGTTGGCAACGATACTCAAAATAGTGTAGATTTCATCAAAGTAACCACAGCGCCCCTCCTGGCTGAAAGGGTCCCAGGATCTCCTTGGAGCAGAGAGAGAGAAGGGTTTTTTAAACACACAGCCCAAGTGACTTCAAGCTGGTGGTGATGACCTGATGGTGAACCTTCCGGGGAACACAGGGTTTGTGGGTTACAGGAAACAGCCACCAATGGCTCGGTGATGCTGTCCACCGGTGACGGTGGCGAGGGCGTGGGCTGGGTCCTGGTCCTCAGCACAGCGGTGCTAGCAGGTCACACAGGACACCCGGACACGCGCGTGGCCACCACAGCACCGCGCGCTGGGCTTCAGAGGCCCAGTCCCGACAAGAACACTGGCCACCACGTCTGAGTCGTCGAGTAACACTCTCAACTTCCAGGCATTGGTGCTTTCACCAGAGGGTTCCCAGCTGAAACGTCTAAGGGGACCCGTTCACACGAAACGCGGAAATGCAGGGGGCACAGAACGGCTGTCCGATCGTGGTTCCCGCCCCGTCCCCGCGCCCGGGCCCGACCCCACGCGCGCCCGGCGCCCCAGAGTCCTTCCCAGCCCATCGCCTGCCCCCCGCGGGCGCGGACCGCCGCGGCCGGGCCGCGCGGCGGGCTCGAATTCCCGGGGCCCGGCCGCCCGGATCGCCCCGCCCGGGACCAGCCGGGCCTCCGAGCGCCGTAATTACGGTCTTGCCCCAATTTGTGCTCCCACGAAAATGACCGAGTGCGTCCGCGGCCTGACCGCGCTCACAAAGCGCGGGCGCCCGCACGCCAATTGCGCTAAGCCCGGCGCCGACCGCGGCGCGCGGGGGGTCCGGAGCGCGCCGGGCTGGGCGAGCCGGGGCCCGGGGCCTGGGGCCCAGCGCCCAGCGCCGCGCCCGCCCCGCCCGGGGCACCCGGGACCCCGGAGCCGGCGCCTCGACGAGCGCGCCGCCGGCCGGAGCCCGAGCCGGGCGGGGCGACCCCAGCCCGCGCCCGCGTCCCCGCCCGCCCGCGCCCCCCAGCCCGCGCCCGCGTCCCCGCCCGACCGCGCCCCCCTCCCGCGCCCCGCGCCCCCCTCCCCAGCCCGCGCCCCTGCCCCGCACCCCCCGCCCCGCGCCGACGCCCCGCGCCCCGCGCCCCCCGCCCCCGCCCGCGCCCCCCTCCCCAGCCCGCGCCCCCGCCCCGCACCCCCCGCCCGCGCCCCGCGCCCCCGCCCCGCACCCCCGCCCCGCGCCCCCCGCCCCGCCCGCGCACCCCCCCGCCCGCGCCCCCCGCCCGCGCCCCCCGCCCGCGCCCCGCGCCCCCGCCCGCGCCCCCCTCCCCAGCCCGCGCCCCCGCCCCGCACCCCCCGCCCGCGCCCCGCGCCCCCGCCCCGCGCCCCCCGCCCCGCCCGCGCACCCCCCGCCCGCGCCCCCCGCCCGCGCACCCCGCCCCGCCCGCGCACCCCCCGCCCGCGCCCCCCGCCCGCGCCCCCGCCCGCGCGCTGACCTGTCGTCGACGTGCAGGCTCGGCGAGCACTTGATGGCCAACCACGTCTTCCAATGGACGTGGCGCACCTTGTACACCTGCCCGAAGCCCCCCGAGCCGACCTTCTCCCAGCCCGCGAACTCGCCCGCCTCGAAGGTGCGCAGCAGCCCCAGAGCCCACGGGCCCCGGCCGTCGCCCTCCATCGCGCGTCTAGCCGCCGCCCGGCGCCGCCGCGGCCGCCCAGGTGCCCAGGTGCGCGCCCGCCCCGTGACGTCACGTCCGCCGCAGGCCGCGCCCCCGGCCCGGCGAGCCCCGCCCCCGGCCGGCCGGCCCCGCCCCCGCCGCCCTCCCGGGGCGGGCTGGGGCGGGCCGGGCGCCCGGTGGGGCGGGCCCCGCGCTCGCCCCGACGGCGGGCGCCCTCCCGAAGTCGTCGGCCCAGCCGCAGGCCACGGTGGGAAGGCCCCCGCTTGGCCCGACCTCCCCCGGCCGTCGTTCGCAGAGGACACCCCCCCCCCCCGACCCGGGCCCCGACGCGGTCCCGGGGGCGCCCCGCGGCCTCCGGAGTCCGCCCTCGCCCGCCAGCCTCGCGCCTCCCCCTCCCGCCCCAGCTCCGACGTCCGGGCTGCCCGGGACCCGTGCAGAACTGGGCTTCCACCCCGGGGCCGCCCGGGGCGCAGCCGGGCTTTTCCTCGGGTTATTACCACACCCCCGAACCCCAACCACGAACCCCAACCCAACCCCGAACCCCAAACCCAACCACAAACACGAACCCCAACCCAACCCCGAACCCCAAACCCAACCCCAAACACGAACCCCAACCCAACCCCGAACCCCAAACCCAACCCCAAACACGAACCCCAACCCCACCCCACTCCCAACCACGAACCCCAACCCACCCTGATCCCCAACCCCAAACACGAACCCCAATCCAAACCCCAACCCAAACCCCATCCCACCCCGAACCCCAAACCCATCCCGAACCCGGAGTCCGCCTCTGCAGCCGGCCTACCTCCTTCACAGAGGGAAGGCGGCCCAGCGGGCGCCCGGGCCCAGCGGGCTAGCCCAGCCCCCTCTACAGAGCCCTCTAAGAGCTTCCCGGGCCGGGAGGCCGAGCCCCCCCTCCGCCCCCGTCGCAGCTGGAAGTTGGCGGGGGGGGGGGGGGGGGGGGGGGGGCTGGAAAGTCCGTGAGACCCAAAAGTTGGAAGGAGGAGGAGGGGTGGCTGGAGCAGTAGAGCACCGGCCTGGAGTGAAAACGCCCCGGGCCTGCACCCTGGGTTCAAGCCTCAGTGTGTGTACACTCGTGCCTTGCAGAGGGAGGGAGGGAGAGGAAGAGGGAAGGAGAGAGGGAAGGAAGGAGGGTGGGACGGAAGGAAGAAGGGAAGGAAAGAGTGAGGAGGGAGGGAGGGAAAGAGGGAGGGAGGCGAGGAGGGAGGGAAGGAAAGATGGAGGGAAGGAGGGAGGGAGAGAGGAAAGGAGGAAGGGAAGGAAAGAGGGAAGAAAGAGGGAGGGAAGGAAGAGGGAGGGAGGGAAGGAAGGAGGGAGGAAAGAAAGGGGGAGGGAGGGAGGAGAAGGAAAGATGTTTCCTTTACCTTCAGGGAAATTTTCCCAGTTTGGCAAGACGGGTGGGTCAGGGGCAGGTGGGTCATCAGGGTGGGTGGGTCAGGGGCAGGTGGGTCATCAGGGTGGGTGGGTCAGGGGCGGGTGGGCCATCAGGGTGGGTGGGTCAGGGGCGGGTGGGTCATCAGGGTGGGTGGGTCAGGGGTGACGTGTCTGTTGGTTCTTGGGCACTAACAGCTCATTTTTGCCACTGTGTGTTGTGTGGAGAGGAGGTGAATAATGGAGGGGTGCCTAGCAGGGAGCGCTTCCAGGTTTACAAGGGGGATCCCCTCATTTCCCAGCCAGTGACTGAGTCCCTTCTGCCGCCCTGCTTTGGGGCTCCCGTCCCAACAGGGCAGTGCCTGCCTTCTGTCTGTGCAGAAAGACTCCACTGTTCCGCCAGCCTTGGCCAGGGCACAACCGGCCGTTTCAACATCCATGTGCACCAACTGTAGCTGCCATTCCAGGGATTTCCTTAAGAATAATTGAGGCTTCAACTATGTAAAGGCAACTTGAAGTAAACAGTGCTTTGTTTTGGTGGAGGGAAAATGAATTGACTAGAAAGTGACTCATGCCCATTTCCGGGGTTCCGCTCCTGATGCCTTTCTCCCCGAAGCTTCTGGTCTCGCAGCTCCGCAGCCCTGACTAACCGCCAGGAGTGGAGCAATAAAACACTCCAATTTCATTTATTTAATCATCTGTGCTTCACTCAGCAAATATTTATGGAGTGTCTGCTGCAGGCTTAGGATGGCTTCCTGTGTCCAGGACGGGAACCCCAGGAGACTCGAGCAGCCAGGCCCTGGCTTCGGGGACAAAGATCACAGTGTGTGCTGTGGCCCATCTCCACTCCAAAGCAAACCTCACCGTGCCTAATCCTCTGGCTCCTTCCTCCAGCCTCCCTCCCCATCCCCCCCCTGGCTGGGGATACTCTTTACTCCTGCTCCTGGTCAGCGGTCACGGGCAAGTGTCGTTAGTATTTCTGAACATAAAAGTAAAGTTCCGCTTCAGATGCACGGTAGGTCTAAAGAAGAGTGGGTGACTTGAGGAAAACAGGAAGTGAACCCAGGCAGGCAGGCGTACATCTTGGAGTGGAGGATTCGTGCCGCAGCATTAATGAACCTGAGGAGGACCTGCGCGGGCAGCTGCTCCGCGTGGGCTGCAGGAAGGCACGGGGCACAGTCCAGTCACCAAGCGCAGGTGGGGCTCTAGGAAGAGAGCCCTAAGGCTGTCTTGCTCAGAGGATGCCTTGTGGCTGGAGACCGAGGGACACAGAGGGACAGACAGCTACCCTCGCAAGTCCCACCCACCCCCAGGGCCCGGGATCTGACCTTCCGCACCCAGGCCGAGGGTGCTGCAGACTGGCCCAGCCAGGTCAGCAAAGGCCCTGAATCTGGGAAGGGCAGGGGACTGGCCTTAAAGCCTGGGGGGGAGACTGATAAGCCTTCTAGATGGAGAGGAAAGGGTGGTGAGCTCCCAGCTTGACGCCATGCTGTCTGAAGTGATGTACTTGTTTCTCCAGTCCCCATGCAGGGCTGCGAGGAGGTAATGCCATGTGTGGCCATGATGATGTACCAGGTGTGTGTGGGGGGCTTTACTACTGCTGCTGGGCGTGTGAGTGGAGGAGGTATTGTCCCCTTTGTCCTCCTCGGGGTCTGTGGAGTGACCCCAACCCCCCCTCCCCTAGACAACAGGCTCAGTTCATCTCCAAGGCCCAGAGCTGGGGAGCTGGCCCCTCCCCCAGGAGGCGGGGCCTCCAGCCACCCCACCCTTGTGCAGTAACTCCCCCACAACCTGCACACCAACTCGGCCAATTCCCCGGGTGTTTTGAGCATCATTTCAAGGAGAAGAGCACTTGCTCGCCTCCTACATTCTGACATTCTTTAGTGCAAAGAAGTGTTTTGGGAGTGGGGGGGAGGGGGTGGGAAAAGTCCCTCCTCCTCTCCCCCCTTTCTCAAGCAAATGCTCTTTATTTACACAAACACTTGTAAGACAGGAGTTAACTATCTGCTGGAGTTATCCACCTGCCTTTCCCACCTCTTCCTCGAGGCTTTTCATGCATTCCATGCCCTGGGGACAAGGTGACAGGCCCCTGCCCAGGGGCCTAGCAGGAGGGAACATGCGGTTCCAGTAATTACCACAGCGCACAGCCTCCCCACACCTTCCTTCCTTCCCCTGGTGGTCTACCCACCTAAACACACAACCCCGCCTCCTCTCGGCCTCCCCCTCCCGCAGCCTCCCCTAGACCCCAGCCTCAGCTGTTTCTCCGGGCAGACCTCTCTTCTACCACCCCCAAAAGCTGATGTGGTGTCTGCACACGTCTCTAAACACACCTCAGTGTGTTTTGTTTTTTGTTTTTTGTTTTTTGGGTCCAGTCATGGGGCCTGAACTCTGGGCCTGGGTGCTGTCCCTCAGCTCTTCAGCTCAAGGCTAGCGCTCTACCACTTGAGCCACAGCACCACTTCTGGCTTTTTTCTTTTTGTTTATGTGGTGCTGAGGAATCAAACCCAGGGCCTCAGGCATGCAAGGCAAGCGCTCTACCACTGAACCACCTTCCCAGCCCAACACCTCAGTGTGTTTGAGGGCCTGTGATTGTTTTCTTCAAACTGTTTCTGACTCTGGAAATGAGCCACCGTGGTCTAAAGGCTGGACCCCAGGAGCTCCCGTTCCTCCGTGCAGCCCCGCAGGATTCACAGCCCACTGCAGTGGTACCTGAGCCTGAACAAGAGGAACCTCACACCCCCCAACACCCCCCATCTGGCCCTCTTTGTGCCAGTCCAGGGCTAGCACTGACCACGGTAGCCTCTTGGTTTTTTAAATATTGTTTTGGTGCTTAGTACTGGTGTTTGAACTCAAGGCCTGGGCTCTGTCCTTCTGCTTTTTCCATTCAGGTCTGGTGCTTTACCATTTGAGCCACAGCTTCCCTTCTGGCTTGTTTCTGGTTAATTGGAGATTGGAGTCTCAGGGACTTTTCTGCCCAGGCTGGCTTTGAACCACAATCCTTAGACCTCAGCTTCCTAAGTGACTAGGGTTACAGGTGTGAGCCATAGTGCCAGACCCAAACTTACTTGATGCAGGACTTGTGCCAGGGCCTCGGTCATACCCTCTCCCATCTGCCCGGGGCTGCCTCTGGGACCTCTGTCCTGTCCGCTCCTCACCGGGCAGCAGGATGTCCCAAGGACAGGTCTGCCCTCTGGTTAGATGGGCAGGGACCTGCCTGTCCAGCTTCAGCCGGTGCATCTGCTGCCCTCCTCCTCCGGCCAGCCTTCCCCGCCGAGCTGCTCCTCAGCTCTGGGAAGCCTGACCGGCCAGGAGAGCTGTCCCTCTCCCCCTGACCGCCTGTGCCTGCTTTTCTCCCATTACGGCTCCTCATGCCTCTCCTGCCATAACATTCCTCTGCCATTAGCTCGGGGGCTGAGGCCTGGTGTGTCACCGTGTGTATTAGGAGTCTGATTGCTTGATTAATCCTTGACTCCTCCACCGTAGGATCCAGTGTGGAGGGGGCAAGGCGGGGCCGTCCCTTCGTCCATAATACAAATGCCTTCTTTCCTCAGGCCATCTGCCCTTGCTCCCCTTGCCGAGGTGTGCTGCCCCCCCCTCCTCCAGACTGGGTGATGTCATCTCAAACAGGCTGATCCCCTCCAGCCAG